ACAATTTTTACCCTTACACCACACTTGTCCAGAGGCGTAGCGACCCTTCCCGGCGCCCGGGGACAAACTTTCAATTTGGCGCCCCCCTCGAGAGCAAATATTCAATTTGCACCCCCCCTTCTCAAACTTTCAATTTGCACCCCCCCCCCCCCCCCTGAAACTTTCTATTTGCACCCCCTCAAACTATTTATAATGCAAAAATGAAGCAAAAATGACCTTTTAATTTGTTTTTACAACCTATTTTGGCGCCCCCTAAGGTCGGCGCCCGGGGACATATGTGCCCCCTGCCCCTCCCCCATTGCGACGCCTCTGCACTTGTCAAACATTACCACAAAATTTCGAATACCCATTACTTCTTAGGCGTGTTTAGTCATTTTTGGACGACTCCCCTAAGTACAAAGTATAATTTTATTAACGCCCTCTTTAGCATTGTTTGATTTTTAAAAAAAATTGTTCACGTATTTTAACAAATTTTCTTTCTTCGTATAACCAAACATTCCATTTGAACAAAAAACTTAAAACTTCAGTTAAATGACGTACTTAATAGTCGTTTTAAGGCATTTGTGTGTGTAATTTTATAGTAGATACCTAGCACCTTTTGTACTTAAGAACTAAAACTACCATCTCATCTAGATCTATAAATCTTCTCTATTGTTTCGTTAAGTTTTGTTCCCGTCTTTTTCATACCTTGATGAGTACTTTTGTCCTTGGTGAGTGCAGTGACGTCACGTGTTGTTTTGAAGGAGACAACAAACACCTGTGCCGGCGACCCCCTCCCCCACCACCCCCCCCCCCCACGTTGGATCGACATGTCCTTCTATCACAGTGGTTCTCACATCTACAGCCAAGACACTTCTAGTATAACCAGCGAAAGCTCCAAAATTTTGACTTTTTTTTCAGTTTTTAAAACATTGAACTATGAACTTGGGGTTGAATTAGAAATTTTAAAACCTAGCGTTATTATCAACTTTAACCCGACCCTTACAGCGATTATGGCAGGAAACCTTCGAAGCGAGACTGCCTCGCCAAAGAACTCGTAAAACCAGAGGCGTAGCGACCCTTCCCGGCGCCCGGGGACAAATTTCGATTTGCACCCCCCCTCGAACTTTCGAATTGCACCCCCTTCGAACTTTTCATTTGCACCCCCCTCAAACTTTCAATTTGGCGCCCCCCCCCTAAGGTCGGCCCCCGGGGACATATGTAGCCCTCCGCCCCCCCCCTCGCTACGCCTCTGCGTAAAACTAGAACTTACCAAAGATTAGAATCTTGCTTCACACTGCTCTGAGAGATAAAAATATCTTACCCTTTCTGACTTGGCTCGGCATAGCGTGACCCATAGCAAGTGAAACAATTGCAAGTGACCCCTAGCAAGTGACCCATTGCAAGTGACCCATAGCAAGTGACCCATTGCAAGTGACCCATAGCAAGTGAAACAATTGCAAGTGACCCATTGCAAGTGACCCATAGCAAGTGACCCATTGCAAGTGACCCATTGCAAGTGACCCATAGCAAGTGAAACAATTGCAAGTGACCCTTTGCAAGTGACCCATAGCAAGTGACCCATTGCAAGTGACCCATAGCAAGTGAAACAATTGCAAGTGACCTCTAGCAAGTGACCTATAGCAAGTGAAACTGTTGCAAGTGACCCTTAGCAAGTGACCCATTGCAAGTGACCCATAGCAAGTGACCCATAGCAAGTGACCCATAGCAAGTGACCCATAGCAAGTGACCCATAGCAAGTGACCCATAGCAAGTGACCCATAGCAAGTGACCCCTAGCAAGTGACCCATAGCAAGTGACCCATAGCAAGTGACCCATAGCAAGTGACCCATAGCAAGTGACCCATAGCAAGTGACCCATGGCAAGTGACCCATAGCAAGTGACCCATAGCAAGTGACCCATAGCAAGTGACTCATAGCAAGTGACCCATAGCAAGTGACCCATAGCAAGTGACTCATAGCAAGTGACCCATAGCAAGTGACCCATAGCAAGTGAAACAGTTGCAAGTGACCCCTAGCAAGTGACCCGTGGCAAGTGACCCGTGGCAAGTGACCCATAGCAAGTGACCCATAGCAAGTGACCCATAGCAAGTGACCCATAGCAAGTGACTCATAGCAAGTGACCCATAGCAAGTGACCCATAGCAAGTGAAACAGTTGCAAGTGACCCCTAGCAAGTGACCCGTGGACAGTGACCCGTGGCAAGTGACCCATAGCAAGTGACCCATAGCAAGTGACCCATAGCAAGTGACCCATAGCAAGTGACCCATAGCAAGTGACCCGTGGCAAGTGACCCGTGGCAAGTGACCCATAGCAAGTGAACCGTGGCAAGTGACCCATAGCAAGTGACCCGTGGCAAGTGACCCGTGGCAAGTGACCCATAGCAAGTGAACCGTAGTTACGGAGTCTTTGTTATATCAGAACTGGGTCTAGAATATTAGGTAAATGCGCGCATTTTTAAAATTACAATTTATAAGAAAAAAGTCTGAGATAGAAAAGTCAACAACTCATTTGAATATACGAAAATCATTTTTTAACTGCGGAGCCACCCCCCCCCCCCGAAATAAGTCTACCCCCCCCCGAACCAAAAGGAATTTACATAGAGAATATATACTTTTAATAGTGTCCGCCCCCCCCTCTGAATTTTTTTTAGTCCGCCCCCCCCCGAAAAATTTCAAGTGCCCCCCGCCCCCTTCCCCGGAGAAAAAAGTCTGGAAGAAACACTGTTTGTCTGGCCATCTTATGAATTCTTATTTTGAGGATCTGTTGTAAACATCTGTGAACGACTGCACCCCGTCTGTGTTTGTCTCCAGGTCTCCAAAACATAAAGCAATACTTAAGGGCATGGGCGGGTGATGAAAACCAAAATAACCAAAATGCTTATTTCTAAACCTAATTCTATAATATTTAGCATATAGTTATAACTCAAAAAGTTAAGTCTAAAAATAAATTTAAAAAGTGGCCGAAAATTTCCTGCCGTTACCATGGTGATGGCGGCCATCTTGGATTTTTTTTTACAATATTAACATTGAAATAACTTTCTTTATTATTATTAAAATATCAAAATTTTCTCTAGTTATTATGTATAAATATACCAGCAAAACTGATATAAAAAAATCTTGAAAATGTGTGGTTTATCTTTTACAGTTAAAAAGACGTATTTTTTGCACAAATTTCGATTTGTATTCAGAGTTTCTTTCAGGCATTCGCCCCCCCCCCCCGAAATTTTTTTACCGCCCCCTCCCCCCGAACGAAATGAAATTTATATAATTTATATAGAAAATATATACTTTTAACAGTGTCCGCCCCCCCCCCCCCCCGAAGAAAATCTACCGCCCCACCCCGAAAATTTCAAGTGCCCCCCCCCGGAGAAAAAAGTCTGGAAGAAACACTGTATTTAAGATTCTTATCTTGCTTTGAAGCGACAAAGGTGTGCAAGTATGCCATTTTTATTTTTGTATCATGAGAACTCTCCAACCCAGCGGAGTAAAATTTGGTTCTATAATCGTGGCTATTCATAGTTTACTCGTGGGCGTTGTTTAATTAATCACGCTTCATAGGTGTATTCGCCCATTATGTTTAGGGGGGGGGGGGGCAATAGATCAGTACAATTGTTCATAGGTGTAGCCGCCTATTATGTTAGGGGGACAATAGATCAATACATTTGTTCATAGGTGTATTCGCCCATTATATTTAGGGGAACAATGTATAAGTACAATTGTTCATAGGTGTATCCCACAAAAATAAATTAAAAGGGCGATATTTTAATATTTTTGTTCATAGGTGTATGCCACACTATATATTTAAGAGGGAAAAATTTAGTATTATTGTACATAGGTGTATCCCTGATTATGCTTAGGACGGTAAGGTATGCTTATCATTGACCATAGGCGTAGAACCAAAACACAAAAATGTACACTAACTAGTAATTTTATGGATCAGGTGTGTTGGCTAGAGTTAAAATTAAGTTTTAGCTAGTGCAAGTATGTGATGTTGAGATTTATAGATGGTTAGCGTTAGGCTAGTGGTTGGTGTATGGTTATTAACAACATTTCTTTATTACTAATACGGGGTATTACGATATGTAGATACGGGTATTACGTTACTAGGAATACAGGTATGTAGGTGCGGGGGTGGTCTAGCGGTAGAGCGAAATTCGGCCCCAGACTAGAAACCTTAGATTGTCCCTCGACCGAAATGCCCATCACATTCAAAACAAGATGGTACTTGTTAAAGTATAATATATTCTACATTTGGAGTTTATCTTTTTTCCCATTTCGTACTAGGGTGTGTGTGGGGAGGGGGGGGGGGACTTCTACCCCGGGGCGTATTGCCTCCCCCCCTCTCCCCCTGAAAGTTGCATGAAAAAAAAACTTTGGAAGTACAAACCTGGGGAAAATCCACGGGTCCCCAAGCTACTGGCAATTTGAATGCTAGAAAAACCTTGTTTCTTAATCCTGTGTCTGTCTGCTCACAAGACTTGCTCAAGCCCGTTATGTAAGTATGAGAGAGATACACTTTTCAGAAGCTTAGTGACCTATTCCAGCGCCCGGGGCGAACCATCCATTTTGCGCCCCCACCTCATGCTCATTTACGTATATAGTTACTCAAGTTGGTGAAAAACTGCCTTCCCTCCCAGTTGGAAAGGTTGGTGGCGCTTTTAATCAGTCACTGTCCATAAAGGTTTCTATTGTGGTGCCACGCAATTGATGTAGAAATTAATGTGTAGAGCCATGTAGCAGTTTGCGTTCGTAGCTTTGACTATGTATAATTCAATACACCGGCCTAAAATGAGCTTTTTAATTATTTTTTAAAACCCTTTTTAGCGTCCCCTTAGGATCGGCGCCCGGGGCGGCCGCCCCAGCCGCCCTCTCTTAGCTACGCCAGTGACACTTTTCTCCGCACTTCATTAACTGATAACTTAATTAGCTTTAATTTTAGAACCCCCGCCATGAAAGCAGTTACAAAAGGGCAGTCAAATATAAAAGGTTATTTCCTAACTCTTCAATTAAATCCACGTGAACATTTAGTGAACTTGTGAACGCTGGTTTTCGAAGAATGAGGCCTATCCTTTTCGTAGTGGTTACTGTTTTAATAGGTTCGAATTTTTTTCAAATTTATTATAGTTTTAAATATTACTGTGTGGTGTATAAATAGAAAGCATTACCGCCCTTGATACGTTCTATTTGAATGGACTTTGGTAGAACAACACGGACATGTTTGTTATATAGCATGTTTTTGTCTGATGTTAGAGCATGACCCAGACTTTTTCGTATAAGTTTTTATTGTTTCACTCAGTAATTTTGAATTGGAAATGATACGATTTTTTAAAGTTTGTGGAATTAGAGGGTTAAAACTTTGTAAGAAGAAGAGCGCAAGTAGATCTAAATTTAAAGATTGCTGAATGATTTTTAAAAATGGGAAAACCACCCAACTTAACAAAACAAAAAGAAAACGCAAGCACAAAAAAAAAAAAAAAAATCACAAAGATACCTGTTCGTTTCTGGTTGTTTTGACAAAGGTACCTGTTTATTTTAACAAAGATACCTATCATTTTTACAATATTTTATTTAACTTCCTTCCACGTTCTTTAGTCTGTCTGTCGTTCTTTAGTTAAGCTTCGTCATGGATTGAAACTGCCGAGGGAAATTTCGACCACTTCTAACGGACCGATTCGTTTCAAACTTGGCACGTGGGTCAAGACCTGATGACAACGCAAAACAATGCACTTATTACACATTTTAAAATACTGAAAAATAAACAAAAAAAAAGGTTTTAATAACAAGCTTTTATGTAATAATGTTCTTAATGAGAAAATAATTTATTTATTTTAAATTTATAATTATAAACTACTATTTAAATTACTAAAAAAATTAAAAACATTATTTTAACAAAGGCAGCTGTTCTTTAAACAAAGATACGTTTAAACAAAGATACATGTTCTTTAAAGAAAGATACCTGTTCTTTAAACACGGATACCTTCTTTTTAAACAAACATACCTGTTCTTTAAACAAAGATACCTACTATTTTAACAAAGACTCTTGTTCTTTTAACAAAATTAAGGCACCTTTCTTTTAACTACAGTACCTGTTCTTTCAACAAAGACACCTGTTATTTTAACGAACACACCTACTTGTCGTAACATCACACGGACCGTTTTTTTTTCATCATCAGGTAGCGGCCACTCAAACACCGGGAAGCTTGTGAGAAAAACTCGTGCACTGGGCGCAATTTGTGGCACAAGTAAGTAAACACAGGTTTAAAGACAAGAAACAAATTAGAACTTAATTTAGCATAATTAATTTTGAATTATAAATTTACTGTAGAATTGCGTGGTTGTGTGGTTAATTGGATGGCGTGGTCTAGTGGTAGAGCATTTGACTGCTAACTCGAAGTCTCGAGTTTGAATCCGGATTCAAGTAAGTGGAAGGTCCGTGAGTTCTCCCAGCTTTGATGAGTACCTAACTTACGTTAAGGAAAGTAAAGGCGGCTGGGCAAAGTGCTGACCACATTATCCCTTAATATCTCGAGGTACCCAGCTCTGATTAGTACCCGACGAAAGTAAAGGCGGTTGGGCACAAAACTGACCACATAAACCCTTAATACCCCTACTTCATTTTTCTTATGGACCACTATAATCGATAAGGTTGTTTAAGCTTTCTCATGCAAGATTAAAGACCGTCTATGGTTGTTTATGCCATCCCCTACCCCCACCACAGTCCAAACGCAAAACACTTTAAAGAATAAAAATAGTAGCAAAATTAAATTTAGAAAGCATAAATTAAACTTGCATTACATCAAGTAGATTAAAAACATCTGGAGTCGATATTGTTTCTCCTTATAAATCGTGTCTTATGCCGGTTGGAAACTCAATTTCAAAAAATCTTATTATGTTCTCCATTTTTAAAATAAAAAAAAATACAAAGACGTCTTACATTTTCTATTTTTGCGGTTAGAAAAAGATAATTTATTTCCATTGTAGATCGGGCCTTATGCCTTTATTTCGACTGCCCGGAAACATTTTGGGGGCTAATAAAATAATTTTTCCGTTGTAGATCGGGCCTTAAGCCAGTATTTCGACTGCCCGGAAACATTTTGGGGGCTAATAAAATAATTTTTCCGTTGTAGATCGGGCCTTAAGCCAGTATTCCAACTACCCGGAAACATTTTGGGGGCTAATAAAATAGTTTTTCCGTTGTAGATCGGTTCTTAAGCCAGTATTCCGACTACCCGGAAACATTCTGGGAGCTTATAAAACAGTTTATCCCATTGCAGATCGCGTCTTGTGCCGGTACTCCGACCTGTCCGGCTGCCCCCTCTCACCTGACTTCAGCTTCGCCGTGGACTGCCGCGGGGGGTGCTGCTACTATCTGCAGGAATTCTGCCACACCTCTGAGACCTGCTGGTACGTTTTTCTCCGGAACTTGAGACGTGCTCGTATCTTGAAGAAGTTGGCAGACGATCGGAAAGCCGCTGCAGCAAAAAGGGCAGAAGAAGAAAGGAAAGCCGCAGAAGAAAGGAAGGCAGAAGAAGAAAGGAAGGCGGCAGAAACAAGAAAATCGGAAGAAGAAAGGTCTGCGTAACCGGAAAATAAACAGCAGCCGTAATAAAGGGGAATAACCGGATTTTTAATACTGTTTATTCCATCAATATAATAATTACCATGAGCTTCTATCGAATTATGGTAAATGTAGTAGCTACTTTGTGTTGTCAAATGAGTTATGAGTAATTGGAATCAATACTATTTTCATAAAAATGAGATGCTCGCATCACTAAATTTGATAAAAATTGGCCCTGTTTTGGTTTCTAAGGATTGCCATGAATTATTAGATTAGGCTTTTAAGTTTTTAAGAAAAATGACAAAATACAATATTTTTTTCTAGATAGCTAATTGTTATTTTCAGTACATAAAGAATTCTTTTTTCTTTACATATAGGCTTACTATTACACTGTTGTTACTGTTTGTGATGTGAATATTGATGCAAAAGCCATTGTAATTTATTTTTCTGTTTAAGTTTGATTGTAAATATGTCAATATATTAAAACATAATTATTAAATAAATAAAGGCTCTTATGCGTGAACTTTGGGATTTCCTCCAACACCATCGAGTATTACGTGTCAACTTCTTATGCGCCACATGGCCCCTTAACTCCTTTTTCATTCTGCTTTTCCTTTTGGAGTGTCTTTGTCCAACTGAGAACAAACTTTAACACGATCTCTGGTTAAAAGCCTTTTTTGTATTTTTATTATCTTTTAAAAAGTTTTCTTTTGCTTGTTGTGTTTACATACTGCAGTGAACATAGTTTAACAATTAATAGTATTTTAGCTGCGAACCGGTGACTGCTTTAGGCATTTTACTAAAACACGAAGAGTTCAAAGTCTGAATAAAAAACTTCACATAAACAAGAGTTCAAAGTTTGAATAAAGTACTTCCCATAAACATGAGTTCAATGTTTGAATAAAAACTTCACATAAACAAGAGTCCTACGTTTGAAGGAAGTACTTGAAATAAACATTTAGCTTTAAACAATGGCGGAAAAAAACAAGACATTAAACTGACTATTCGCTTGAGACCAGTGTTTCTTCCAGACTTTTTTCTCGGGGGGGGGGGGGGGGGGGGGGGGGGGCGGGGGGGGGAAGGAGGGCACTTGAAATTTTCGGGGGGGGGGGGGGGCGGTAGACTTTCTTCGGGGGGGGGGGGGCGGACACTGTTAAAAGTATATATTTTCTATATAAATTATATAAATTTCATTTCGGAAGAAACTCTGCTTGAGACAGGAGTGGCAGTTTTAGTAATAATTTATCGAACTGAATGTAGCTTTATTCTGTCCATTCATTTACCAATATGATTCTAACGGGTTGATGCATGGTGGAGCGTCGCTGCTAGGGTTGCGGGTGCCACCCCATTTTGTCCCCACTATTTACCACCTCCTAAAGTCGCTACTGCCAGTTTTGATACTACTTACTTTTACTCAAATTCAGTACACATACACATACACATTTTGCATATACATATACATATACATATGCATATGCATATGCATATGCATATGCATATGCATATGCATATGCATATGCATATGCATATACATACTCGTACACGTACACGTACACGTACACGTACACGTACACGTACACGTACACGTACACGTACACGTACACGTACACGTACACGTACACGTACACGTACACGTACACGTACACGTACACGTACACGTACACGTACACGTACACGTACACGTACACGTACACGTACACGTACACGTACACGTACACGTACACGTACACGTACACGTACACGTACACGTACACGTACACGTACACGTACACGTACACGTACACGTACACGTACACGTACACGTACACGTACACGTACACGTACACGTACACGTACACGTACACGTACACGTACACGTACACGTACACGTACACGTACACGTACACGTACACGTACACGTACACGTACACGTACACGTACATGTACATGTACATGTACATGTACATATACATATACATATTTCACCCGGTGCTGCACTTAATGGTGCCACCCCTCAGAGGCGTAGCGACCCTTCACGGAGAAAAAATTTGAATTTTCAATATGAAACCATTCCTCAAACTTTCGATTTGCATCCCCCCCCGCAAAAAAAAACCTTTCGATTTGCACCCTTTCCCTCAAACTTTCGATTTTCACCTTTTAAAAGACTATTTAACACTCGAATTATTCACTTAATCAAGTGGAATTATCATTTTTCTCTATATATTTTGCTATTTTTTGTCTTGGTGTCGACCCCCTAAATCACAGGTTCCCAACCTGGGGGTCGCGATTTGCACCCTTTCCCTCAAACTTTCGATTTTCACCTTTTAAAAGACTATTTAACACTCGAATTATTCACTTAATCAAGTGGAATTATCATTTTTCTCTATATATTTTGCTATTTTTTGTCTTGGTGTCGACCCCCTAAATCACAGGTTCCCAACCTGGGGGTCGCGACCCCCCTGGGGGTCGCGAGGGTCTTTCTGGGGAGTCGCCAACTGGTATACTAAACCTTAGTAATTTGAAACAAAACATACATATTTAGAAGAATTTTTGAAATTTGGCTTCAGTAACATCTCTGGAAATGTAATAGAGAAGAAACAAAGCGCACTGTACAAAGTTGTCTCAGTCACGAATCTATGAAATCTTCAAAACTAAAACGCCATTTGAGACGAGTCGTTCGGAACACACCAACAAATATATGGAGTTCTTTCGACGGTATGAAGCTAGTTGCAAACGCCAGAGACTTGATCGAACAGGAAGTTTTCACCAGCATTAGTGCAACCATCAAATGAAGTCGCGATAGAAAATGCCAAGCAAAAAAAAAAAAAAAATAATAATAGGAGAAAATCTCATCAAACGCTGCATGTACGTAAATGTTAAATAACACATTGTTATCGAAATTAAGCTTTCACCATGGTTCGCTTTTCAAGTTGATAGATCAACAGACGTGAGTTCGTGTTCGCAGTTGCTGGTCTGTGTCTATATTCATGCGGATAATAGCCAAGAAGAGTTGCTCTTTTGTGAAGATAACATGGAGAAAATAAATACCTTTTTTGAAACTGGATGATTAAAATGGGTTAGAACGGCTTTGGGGGTTTGTACGGATAGTGTGCCATCTATGTTTATCTCAAAATCGGGCTTTCAGAAAACAGAAAAGATGTAGCTTTCTAACCACTGCCCTAACCAATCGACATCAAGAGTCCATTGCTAGTATAAGTCGTAAATTATATAAAATCTGGAGCCTTCAAAGAACTGAGCAAAAACATTAATATAGATCACGAGGATCTGCTCTTCTACACTACAGTACGCTGGCTGTAAAACGAAATGTTGTAAATTGTGTTTTTGAATTGAAATCTGAAATCAAATTGTTCTTGGAAGTGCAAAGGAAACAAGACTTTTTGGTACACTTAAAACGGCATAGAGTGGTTAGAGAGAGTATCATACCTAGCAGATGTGTTCGAACATCAAGATAAGCTTAACCTGAAGCTTCATGGAAAATGAACGAATATTATAACTTTCCATGATAATCTCGGGGCATTTTTATCAAAGCTGCAAAATCGGTAAAGAAAATAAATCTTGGAAATATTGTAAATTGAGAAACTCTGCGGTGTGGTAGATGAATCTGTGAGATGATTAAAATTTTGAAAGAAGCGATTTCTGGGCATCTTGAATCTCTTGAAAACGAACTGCACCGCTATTTCTCTGAGCCGAAAAAAGAAGAATCTGCATTTAAGCATTACCCATTCTCTTCTTCCCTTGATGTTGCCAGCATTCCCGATGAATTACAAGATGAATTCTTTGATTTGCAGAATGATTCCGAGTAAGATGAAAAACTGCAGACACAATGTTGGTGTAGTATTCACCATTCATACCCAAACGTAAAATTGATTGACTTTTTGAGAATATATTTTCAACACTATTCTTCGATTAAAAATAAAATTAAGATAATTATAATGACATAGGTTGGCGTTAACAATTTTTTAAAATTAAAAACGTAACCACGAAGGCTTAGTGAATAGTATACAATTTTACTCATGCTATTAAAATAGTTATCAAGAGTAGTTCATATTGAAAGTCTACTAAACAATCTTATTTTAGTGCTTATTAATTTCCATACTAATTTCGGCTTTTTAATTATATGGGGGTCGCGGGTCACTTACTTTTTATAAAAGGGGGTCGCCACTCGAAAAAGGTTGGGAACCACTGCCCTAAATGGTGTCATCGGGTGCGGTCCGCCCCCCGCTCTCACTACGCCCCTGATTAACTGTACTATTTTGTTAATCACTATCTTGTATGGAAAATGCATAAACCATGTATTTAGTCACAAAATAATTTTATTACTATTTATTTTGTGAATATGGAGATTTGTGTTATCTATAATATAAGCGGGCTATGTCAGTCCTTCCTTTAGGAACCATAAAGGTAAACAACGCACCATGCAGTGCTTTCCAGTGTCTTATTATAAGTAATAGAGTAGGGTTTGTTTATATAACGATATAGAGCTGTTTTATAATTGCCACTTTCGTTTACTCTTTTGCATAATGTAAAGAAAATATTAAATACACGAATATTGCTAAAACATATTAAAAAGATCAATGTCAAATATCATTTTAGTTTATATTCCTAGAAAAAATGGATACATTTTCATAAAAGTAGGTCGAAAAAACTAATTAATTCACATTTTTTTTGGTAATTTTTGCAAGGGAGGTAATTTGAAAATATATTTATTTCATCAATAATTTAAGTTAATCTTTTTTTTTATTACTACCGCATTGATTATTATATAATAAGGTTCATAATTAAAAGAGAAAAATGTTAAGATTATTTATATTATTTATTATTATTTTCTAATTAGTCTATGATTTCTCAAAATCACTATTGTTTTGCTTTTGTTTTTCGGTGTTATGAAAACAGATGGTGAAATTAGACTTTTTGTCATTTTGAGAATAATGGAAAGGCTCGTCTGGGCGCGGACGTATGGGAAACGTGTTTTAAATATTCAACTCACTCACAATAATTTAAGTTAATTTTTTTTATTACTTCCACATTGATTATTATATGTTACGGTTCATAAGTAAAATAGAACAATGTTAAGATTATTTATATTATTTTCTAATTAATCTATGATCTCTCAATTTTTGTTTAGTTTTTGTGGTTGTGTTGTGGTTATGGTTGTGTTGTGGTTGTGTTGTGGTTGTGGTTGTGTTGTGGTTGTGTTGTGGTTGTGGTTGTGGTTGTGGTTGTGTTGTGGTTGTGTTGTGGTTGTGTTGTGGTTGTGTTATAGTTGTGTTGTAGTTGTGTTGTGGTTGTGTTATGGTTGTGTTGTGGTTGTGTTGTGGTTGTATTGTAGTTGTGTTGTCGTTGTGTTGTGGTTGTGTTGTGTTGGTTGTGTTGTGTTGTGGTTGTGTTGTGGTTGTGGTGTGTTGTGGTTGTGTTTTGTTTCTGTTTGTGTTGTGTTTTTGTTTGTTTTGTTCTGTTCCAAAGTTGGTACATTTAAAAAAGATTTACCGTGGCGGAGCACGGGATGCAGCTAGTTTAGTATATGAATGAAGTGTATTTAGTATTTGAATGATGACATATATGTAACAATGTCTCTACATGAATGTGCATTTTACTCAGATGTTAGACAGTTTGTAAAATATATTTTACAACCGGTCAGCTATGGGCTATAAGACTAGTAGTTACGGAGGTCTGTGTGTGGGGCTAGTCGGACCAGGCTCATTATGCCGGCTGTCATTTTTTTTAGTATCACTGTTTCCATTGTACTAATTTTTGCTATTCAAGCCTCTTGTAAACCATTAAAGCCTCTCATAAACGATTCTATTGATGTTGTTCAATGACGTAAATAAAACACTTTATTAGGGGACCTCTTGTCCAACGACTCATATCCTAGAAGGGTCCTATACAAACAAGCAATTGCGGCTACTTATAATGTTGTCGGACTCGATAGAGTATATTTGCCACATTGATTAACGTAATCTGAAGTTGTAGTTTTAAACAAATGAAGTTTTTATCATAATGCATATTTTAAAAAATAAAGTAATATGATGCATGTATATCTGCCTCGTTTGTTTTTCATGTGATACTCTTAAAAATAATTAAAATACACTCCATTTTCAAGGAAAACAATTTTTTTTTTATTGCAGAATGATAGAAGCATTTTACAAACTACTGAAGTATTAACCAAAACAATACATATCAGATATTATTCAGTGGGAGAACTACTATGCCGTCAGACCACGCGATGAGTGGGAAGGGAGGGGAGACTTTTTAAAAGGCCAACACCTACACAGTAATAAATCTTAATTTTTAAATTTCATTATCGTGCATTTTTCATTAATATCGTTATGTTAAAAAAATAAACTGTATCTATAGTTGACGTGTCTTTATTCTAGAGTGGCTAATGTAAGTTGTTGCTTAAATATTTAAAAAAAATTCAAATCACTGTAGCTTAATTGTTGTCACGCTCATACATACATACATACATACATACATAAATACATAAATACATATTATATATCTATATCTATATCTATATATATATCTATATCTATATCTATATCTATATCTATATCTATATCTATATCTATATCTATATCTATATCTATATCTATATCTATATCTATATCTATATCTATATCTATATCTATATCTATATCTATATCTATATCTATATCTATATCTATATCTATATCTATATCTATATCTATATCTATATCTATATCTATATCTATATCTATATCTATATCTATATCTATATCTATATCTATATCTATATCTATATCTATATCTATATCTATATCTATATCTATATCTATATCTATATCTATATATATATCTATATATATCTCTATATATATATATATATATATATATATATATATATATATATATATATATATATATATATATATATATATATATATATATATAGATAGATAGATAGATAGATAGATATGTGTGTGTGTGTGTTTATTTTCAATTTGTGTGACCATTAGTCAAATCTAAAGGTAGGTAATACCTCCCAAAAGATTTAATGGCTTTCCTGCTATTTATGTCAGGTGGCTCCACTCGCGGGTGTCGCACTAGGTCGCTAAGATTGCGTGCTGGTAGTTCTAAATAAAGCAATAATATTAAAAATCAATGCAGTAAAATAATTTTTAAAAAATAATTATGAAATTATAACGAATGAATAGAATGATATAAAAAAGAATGGAACGGTGAAGTGAACCTAATATTTAAATGTTGTTTTGTATAAAAAGTTATGTATATTTGTTCACAAATAGCAAACACAAGTTCTAAATTTAATTTTTGTTAACACAACTCACGTATTCCGATATAACTGGTATCGCACCAGCTGTACACTTCAAAGTTCACTAGCTGGTAATACTCCCAATACCAGCTCAGCATTTCGGCTGAATTTTTCGGGCAGAGTTTGGTCAATACAATATAAAAATCAAAACTCAGATCAGACAATTTCCTAGAGACGAATAAAGAAAAAAAAAATATTACTATGGTTGTGAACAATGTAAAAGCTTTACAAAACAAAATAACAATGATATATATATATATATATATATATATATATATATATATATATATATATATATATATATATATATATATATATATATATATGTATATATATATATATATATATATATATATATATATATATATATATATATATATATATATATATATATATATATATATATATATATATATATATATATATATATATATATATATATATATATATATATATATAAGTAGCGTGCTTCTCTAAATTTTAAATTTTCTATTACCTGAGTATTTTAATCTATTTCATTACAATTTATAACCACTCTGAGATAACGAACCAGACAACAATAAGTCCGAACTCATTTCGGGCCCGCAGTAATCCCTGTTTTACAAGCGTTTTAATTACATTTTCATGTTTACCGCAAATTGACCGATTACCCCGGAACAATTTTTTAAACTGGTCAAAATTTTTATATAAACAAGTAAGCTTGATTTGTGCAATGGTTTCTCGCGTTGTGTTTATTTGTATAATTTTTTGTATTTATATTATTAGTTTTGAATACATTCATTTTTATAGCTTTAGGATTCTTTAGTATGATTTATTTAGATAATAATTAAGAGAAGAAATTGCTTTTTAACTTACAAAACTATTTAAATGAGCTTTATGGGCACCTCTATTTTAAAGAAGGGCAGTAAGTCATGTAAGTAGTTTGAACGTTTGCCTATCTTTCAAAATACAGATCTTGAAGATTTTATATTTTTCTACGCAACAGTGTGTGTTAGTTACTGTAGAACAATCACTGCTATAGCAGTCATGTTTGTTTTTTACAAAACCACTATCAAGGTGCGCGAAAAATATTATTTATGAAAAGAAAATTCATTGTTTTTTTTTGTCAGAATTGGGCCCCTAAACGTCGTGGCCCCCCCCCCCCCCGGCATTGCGGGGTCTGGCGGCACTGCAGTTCCGCCCCTGAACACAGGAGTGTTGTAGAAAAACGGGATTGATTTTTAATTACCTTATTGCACAATCAGCTCCTTAGCTAATTTCAACAAAATAAGATAACTGAGTTTCTTAAAAACTATACAACAAACTTACTCGCAAAGTTCTCTATCCATCTCGACTTTAATGTTACGACGCAATGTAATAACATTATACGAGGCGGATTTGAGACTTCTCCAGAAATGATAGTTAATGAATGCGATCGCCCATTTAATCTTGTCCTTGTCTTTGCACTTACTCAAGTCTTCGATATCTATATTTTGAAAAACAAATATATACTTTAATTAAACAATTTTGTTTAGGCTTTGATAGAGCTAAAGTTTATGAATACAAATCTGTGCCTAATGTTAACTGAAAAAAAAGTATTTTACCCTTTTTGCTCTTCGTTAGGAAAGTGACCAACTTTAATTGTCCCTTGAGGTAATTATTACGAACTGGGTCAGAGCATTTATACACAGAAGTATAAAAGCAGGTGTAAAACTTGTTGCCGTTCCTAGAAAATGTATGTTAACTTGTATTTATACAGTCATTTATAATAATTTGATTGCCCATAACCAGGCGTAGCTAACGAGGACAGGGGGTGGGGGTGGGGGGGGGGGGGGCGACCGCCACAGAACAAACAGTGGCGTAGCCAGGATCGTCTCAAGGGGGGGGGGTTAAAGTTTTTACCCGGGGACAAACTTTCGATTTGCACCCCCCCCCTCAAACTTTCGATTTGCACCCCCCTCATAATTTATATATATATACACCGAGGGGTCTATGGGGGGGGGGGTTATGACCCCCCCCCCCCCCCTAACCTCCCACAGGCGTCGTCCCTAGCTGGCGCCAAAATAAGTCCAAAATAAATTTAAAAGCTCATTTTAAGCTTCAGGTTTGAATCTTAAACAAAGTTAAGGAATTTAACGGCTACAAATCTTAACATACTGATTTAACTGTTTTCTACCTTGATTTTGTTACTGTAAAGCATATACCCTTAAGAAACAGCGACCGGCTAAAAATCGCTTTCCAGCTTTTCCTAGATTGGGGAGGGGGGCGCTTTCTCGCCGACTAAAATCGGAATGATTTACACTGGACTGGTTAGTTGATAAATGATACCACTTATAAAAGAAACCAATTGTATTACATTGTATTGGACGATTGTGTAACCTTAAAAAAAGCAGTGACGTTAAAATGAGCTCTACCAAATTTATCCAAGAACCACATGGATGTGTAATGGATTTGTGAGTAAATAACTCTTTTAACACTAAGAAAAAAACAACCAAATGTATTAAAGTTTATTGTGTAAAACTAAAATACGATAAAACTTTGGTGAATTGTGCGCTCCTTCGCCAAGGTAAATTGGAAGGATTTACATCGGAACGGGGAGTAGATAAATCGTTTAACTCTTAAAATATAAACTAATTGTATTAAAGCGTAATGTGCGATTTCATTAGCCTGTTTTGTTTAGAAAAGACGCAGCTAGTTCTTTTTACCATTCTTACGATTCTCTCAACTTCCACGTGAGAGATTAAATTCTTTTATATAATCGCATTACATCTTGCCTGGATCACTTTATTAAAGACAAATAAATATCACGGATTCTTGTATCGCTATTCGATCTGCAAAATAGTATACGGTCGGAGCGGGAGGGTGGAAGGCGATTCTCTTTGCCGAAATTTTAATGCTCAATTCTGAACCTAATGCTATAATATTTAGCATGTAGTCAAACAGATTAGTCTAAAAAAACATTAAATTGCCAAAAATATCCTGCACTTTCCATGGTGATGTTGACCTTCTTGGTTTTTTTTACTTCAGTCAAATGGGTACCTGGCATGATTGTAACGGGTACTAGACCTGGCGTGATGTATGGTTAATACAGGCGTGGGATGCCATAATCCATACTTCAAACTACCTTCACGTCACCACATGCCAGACACATAATGTATCATATGTACTATACAAACCAGCAATGTATGTAGGATACTTTTGTTTTAAATTTTATCATTTGTATTTAGAAATTTATCATTTGTATTTGAATACAAGGTAAATACTTTTTTGACTATTTAAACTAAGTAGACTAAGTTCCACTTTCGTTTACTGGAAATCACTGAAATGTTGGTACAGAACAAGAAATTTGATATAATACATATACATGAAATTTTGTCAACCTAGCTATAACGGTACTCAAGTTATCTTGTTCATAGACAGACACAGTTACACACACACAGACACACACAGACATTCAAACACGATTGTAAAATTAATTTTGACTAAGGGATAAATAAAACTTCGAGATGTGTGAAAATCTCTATTTCGATTTTTTTGCACGATTACAATACTTCCTCTTCACACCTTAAACGAGAAAGTTGAAAGAGGACCATTTACTTTTATACATACAATTTTTACTTTTAAAGTTTTTACTTACCTGCGAAGGGCTTCAGAGTTGTTTTTACCATAAAGTGTTTCTACATTAGCTGGAGTCACATAACTTTTAGGGTCCATACATTTCTCGAGAGCATCACAGTCGTCAACTTGTTCGAGACCTACACATTATTGAAGAAAAAAGACTAGAAACAACATTAAACTACTACACAACATTGGGCGAGATACAACATTAAACTAGAACACAACAATGGACTAGTTACAACATTCAACTAGAACACAACAATAGACTACATACAACATTCAACTAGAATACAACAATGGACTACATACAACATTCAACTAGAATACAACAATGGACTAGATACAACATTCAACTAGAACACAACAACGGACTAGATACAACATTCAACTAGAACACAACATTGGACTAGATACAACATTCAACTAGAACACAACAACGGACTAGATACAACATTCAACTAGAACACAACAATAAACTACATACAACATTCAACTAGAATACAACAATGGACTACATACAACATTCAACTAGAATACAACAATGGACTAGATACAACATTCAACTAGAACACAACAACGGACTAAATACAACATTCAACTAGAACACAACAACGGACTAGATACAACATTCAACTAGAACACAACATTGGACTAGATACAACATTCAACTAGAACACAACAACGGACTAGATACAACATTCAACTAGAACACAACAATAGACTACATACAACATTCAACTAGAATACAACAATGGACTACATACAACATTCAACTAGAATACAACAATGGACTAGATACAACATTCAACTAGAACACAACAACGGGCTTAATACAACATTCAACTAGAACACAACATTGGACTAGATACAACATTCAACTAGAACACAACAATGGACTAGATACAACATTCAACTAAAACTCAACATTGGACTAGATACAACATTCAACTAGAACACAACAATGGACTAGATACAACATTCAACTAGACCACAACAATGGACTAGATACAACATTCAGCTAGAAAAGACAACAATGGACTAGATACAACATTCAACTAGAACACAACATTGGACTAGCTACAACATTCAACTAGAACACAACAATGGACTAGATACAACATTCAACTAGACCACAACAATGGACTAGATACAACATTCAGCTAGAAAAGACAACTATGGACTAGTTACAACATTCAACTAGAACACAACATTGGACTAGATACAACATTCAACTAGAACACAACATTGGACTAAATAACAAGTTTTCCATGTACAAATCAACCGAAAAAATCTTCAGTTTACAAAAAAAACCTCGTTATTAAGTCCATGTTTCTGTGCAGTGTTTTATAATTAGATTGGGAAGTTGTGGTCGGATGGTAGAGCGAACGATTGGTAAAAGGAAGAAGTTCGAGTCGCGGACTTGAATCCATTAGACGTTTATGAGCTCACGTGCGTACGTGAAAGAAAAAGTTTCGAATAGAAATAGTGACTTTTTCAAGTTCCATCTACTGTTTTTAAAAAAATCTCACACTAATTAAAAATGTACAAATTTATATACCAAATAGTCTATTCTAATTTTTCTGAATGGGTTTAAAACACTTGGATGATATCTAGTGGCGAAAATAGAAAAAAAGGGCCACCCCGAAATTTTTTTTAGGCCCCCCCCTATATATATATATATATATATATATATATATATATATATATATATATATATATATATATATATATATATATATATATATATATATATATATATATATATATATATATATATATAAACACAAAATATGAACATAGGATTCTCAATGCTGGCCTGTTCGGGATTTGAACAAAAATGTTTTTTTTTTCAATTAAAACAAATTGCAATAACATGTCATGTGCGTAAGCGTATTAGTCTGTTTTAAAAATTTAGTTTATTTTATGTCTGCTATAGAATCTTTCTAACCCTAATTAGTCAAAAGAATATAAAACATGAAAGCTTTGTATAAGTAATGGTGTCTCGTGTTATGTTTATTTTTAAGTTTTTTTGTATTTATATTATTAATTTTAAATGCATTTATAAAACAAAATAATTAAGAGAAGTAATTACTTTTTAATTTGTTTAGTGCAAATCTATTAAAAGGAGCTTATGAGCACCCCTATTTGACTATTTAAAAAGGGAAATAGGTAATGGAAGAGGTTTGAACGTTTACTTATCTTTGATAATTTTGATTGTAGAAGAAAGAGGACTCGGCTTTCACTGTGGTTTAACAACAAAGGGGAAAAAATATACAAGAGCGTGGGCTGGTGTCTTTAGAATAAAGATAATCCAACCGCAGCTATGGCAATCTTTTTACAAAGAACTATCAAGTTAAAAATGCAAGAAAATTATTTTTTTTACTAGTAAAATTTTTTATTATGGTCGGCTCTGAGTCCCTAAATGGCGTGCCCCCCCCCCCCCCCCGCATTGCGGGGTCTGGCTGCACTATAGTTCCGCCCCTGATGATATCAGATACTATCATCAATGGGTGGGTATCGCCTTTGGTCTAGGTTTAATGTTCTAGTAGGTAAACAAAGTGTGATTCCTAAAGTTAATTAGTAAACCCCCGAAATAAACATATCTCGTTTACCGCCTCAAAGAGGTATCACAAAGTGACTTATTCATTAACCGAGCACATTATGTTTTTGTAAAACCTTGTAAATTACAGATTTATATTTTACGTTTTATGAAAAGAACCTCTAAAACACATTGTAAATTCAACTTGCCTTAGTTAATTTTGCATCCGCTAAATTTAATTTATCTAAATGCAAATACAATTTGTGTAACTTAAATTATTTTTATGCTAGCAGAATGTCTTTTCAGGGGCTAAATAAAAATGCAGCATTTGCAATTTGATTGCAAAAAAAAATATATTTATAAAACCGTCATCAACGATAGTAAATTATCGAATTTTTTGGAGGCCTTTTTTATATTAGCGAAATGTATGACTTTGCTGAATTCAAATTTCCAAAATAAAAAGTTGAAATTTCATTACAAGAAGGAAACAAAAGTTTTTATTAAGCTACTCACCTGCTGCGATGTAACCGATGGATAAAACCAAGACGAGTTTGAACATTTTGGAAGTGTGAAGCAACAAAATCTGGTTAGAATCAAACACTTCTGGTACCGCTCCTTTAATTTCCTTCAGCTTATATAGAGCCCGAGTAGGCGTGGAAACCTTCCGGGCCATAAAAAAAATTCAAACTGCAGGTGGTAACCCTTTAAGGACTAAAATTATTGCATGCAATTTTTTTATGGAGACAACTCCAAAATCAAACAACTGCTGCCTTGTAGTTTGTTCTTGGTTGGACAAAGGCTATGGAAGCAAATCCAAAAAGAAAAACAGTCTGAAATCGGAGTCAATGGCCTTAATGGCGCATAACCAGTTGACACGTAATACTTAATTGTGATGGAGGCATGGTCGAGTCGGCAAAAGCTCATGGTTGTTAAATTCGAAAAAGTCTCGAGTTCAAATCCTCTGGCAGATAAGGCTCGATCCCTTCCAACACTAAAAATTAAGAACGAAGAAGAAAAAGAAAGAAGAAACATATACACAATTTTAGAGGTAAAAAGCCCGTTGAGTTAAAAAAAAAACGATGCTATTAAGTTTATACCACGAATACAAAGAGCACGCAACATACGTATCCATATTTTCGAGGAAAAATAATTTTCCAAGATGAATCGTAATATGGATTCGTTTTGTGTATATTTTACATGTAGTAATTAATTGTTCAAGCGGAGCGTTTCTAAAAAATTATGCCAATTACATAGCACTACGATCGTAATATAGTCTGGTCAATTATAATCAGTAACCTAACGTTTTGCATCGCATATAATCAGAACAGCACACCGTTTCATCTTCTTGTTTTTTCCATTGATTCCTTGAACATTGAACTCATTGTTTTCTTCCGTTCACGATTGTTTTGCTGCTTCCAATAGTTCTTAAATAAAACTTCTGATCCTAGTTTAATGTCACAATGAGCCCTATTTCTATTATTGTCCTGTAAGTCTACTCGAGATGGTCGGCATACATCATTGTGATCAGTTGCTGTTTCATCTGTTTTTATTCTGGAATACACACGTTTTCATTTAACCACAAATATATTTTAGATTCATGTTATGAACCTTTCTGACTTGTTGAAAAGTCATAGTTGTTGTCAACGAATTATTGAAAGTAATTCATACATTTTAAAACCAGACTTTTTTCTTTAAAATCTGTAAACATTACAAGTATTTCAGAACAAAATCAGCAACTAAAATTTTATGTAATTTCAAATTTATGGGACACATATGTCCCACGGTACTCCAAGGGTTAAATGGTGTAATGTAAGCCTACGCTTTTTATATTATGGATAAAAAGAAGTAAAATTACGCTTTTGAACATGGAGGTCAATTGAGCCAGGTAAAATTAAGTTCACTTGATTCTATGAACAAGGTATATGAGAGGATGGTGTAGCCCGCTCTATATCTAGCCTCTTTTACTTTAACCAATACCCATCACATCTATGGGGACTCAGTGACATCCTGTACAGAGTTTATTTTATGTATGTTTTTGGGAAAGGACATTACACGTTAACCGGCCATTCACACACAAACGAAATTGAATTCATATGCAAAATATGTACTACAACCAATGTTTTTCCATTGCCCTCCCTCCCAAGTTTTAAGTGTCCCTAGCTTAGGGTGAAAAATACCTTAAAGAACACTGCGTCTTAAGACAACTGTTATATTATGAAGGCAAATCGGAGTAATGTCCTTCCCGGTCAATCCTTAGAGCTTTCCTCAAGCTGAAAATGCTAGTGCAAGAAAGCGACAGCAATTCATTGATAGCAAAAAAAAAAAAAAAAAAGCCGAGCATCACTAAACTTTATCGTGCATTATGTTTATTTCACAGATGATGATATTAAGAGGGAGCTCTTAATATTCTGCTGACAGTGATGATAGTGGAACCTCAAGAGGATTAATTACGTTTCAAGCAACAACTATTTACAAACATTAACTACATTTCAAGATGGTCAAATAAATTGACAAAACAAATTCTTTTGAACATTTTGCAGAAATAGATTAGTAGAGTTTATTTGATTTAACCTTTAAGCATATGGGCCGAACCAAATTAGACCCAGACCGTATCATCTATTCTAACTAATATATAACGTTCCATTCTTTTTTTTAAATACTTTTATTTTCCAATTTAAAACAAATACAGTAACAACCCACGCCGTTTGGGTGAATATTTACAAGATAGTTACATTGGTGTTTAGAGTATAGTAAATAAATATCGAAATATGTAAATGAATACAAAAGATACATTGAATTTAAAGCTTGTTGGTTCAAAAATTGAAAAGAGACTGGTTTGTAACATGTTTGCCAACAAAAGTGGTGGAAGAGTATAACGATAAAACGATAAAAAACATGTTGTCTCAGACTTAGCGGTGCTGTCGGCAGGTGAAGCAGAGTTGGGTAGGTCACCTGTGACGGTAGACTTTTTTCGGACGTAGAGATGCCCTGAAGAGATGCCTGGAAGAAACTCTGATCGGTGTTTTAAAAGACAAAAAAATGCCTGAGTTTGGGGGGGGGGGGGGCGGCACTGGGCAGGTCAAGTAGAGTTGACCCATTTTTGTGACCTCAGCATATGAAGGGATAGTGTGGTCAGACCCATGCTCTGCCGAAATAGGTGTTTTTAAAAGACAAAAACGTCTTAGGTGTGACGTCTTTTGTCGATAAGGGACAGACGTGATGTCATTTATGGATGACCCCCCGAAACCCACAGTTATCCAAGGGATGACGGGTAGTGTAGTATTATATAACAAGCGAAAGTAAAATGTCCTTAATTACGCAAGTTTACGTCAGATATGTCAAACAGAAGTTATCAGAAACAGAGTATAGCGTAGTTAGGTAAACCAATAGAATTACAGCAGATGACCAGTCACAAGAGACAGCTGACCACTGAAGCTGACCACTGTAGAGAACGGACAGAGATATGTAGAGAGTTAGAGTAAGATATCGTGTATGGGATGATTATGGGAGTGCGTAGTTAGATAGCGTTAGTAGATAGTTATGTGATAGAATGGAGTTAGTGTAGGAGTGGGAGATTGATTAGAGTTGAATAAAAAACATTATAGATAGAACATTTTAATCGGACTCGTGTGTTGATTTCACTAAACTGTTACAGGCATATAAGAAGAGCCGATCCCCGTAGAAAGTATAATAAATTCTGTATGTTCTTGACGGAGCATCACATAGTATATGTAGATAGAAATACACATTTCTTCAACTTGCACCCTCACAACTGGTTCTTCTTTTACCCCACCCACACATTTTTTGGATCTTTCATCTTATCCACATTAACAATGTCTTAAGCGTGCATTTTTTGCTTATGTAAGACTTAAGGGGGAAGGGGGATGAGTTAAAAGTGACGGGGCGATGAAGAGGAACAGTTAAATTTGGGAGCGTAGTGGAATATGCTGTTGTGGTAAGTTAAAACCTCGAGAGTTTTGGCCCCTTAGATTGCTCAGTTTTACACAAACCGTATTGTGTTATGTAGTATTGTGTTGGATGGGATTATGCTCTTTCCTGTTTTGCATTCGTTTTGTAATGTGTGATCCACGTTTAGCGAAAGTTAAGTCAGCTGGGTATAATATGACCACACTATCCCTTCATATGCAGAGGTCACAGAAACAGTTGAACTCTACTTCACTAGCCCTATGGAGTGTCCGGTCCGAAAAGGGCGATTGACTTTATATTACAAGAGCAATATTTGAAAAGGTTATTTGTATTGCATATTCATATCCCAGCAAATAATATGAAACACATAAATCTTATATAGATTTACAGTTTTTGATTAAATTCTTTCTGTTTCGAGATTATTACATATGTAGAATGAGCTCGCAATAAGGCCTTCCTTGTATTGTACAAATGTAGAGGTAATCTCTAATACATTGTGACTGTCTTTTCACATACGGGTAATAAACAAATATTTACTCATTTAGATATCACACGGAACAAAAAAATCAAAACTTGTCATACCTTTCACGCGGGATGTATTGCGCTTTAGCTGGCTGTGTTAGGGGTGTGGGACTGGTGGTTAGGTGGTTGGGTTAGGGGTGTGGGACTGGTGGTTAGGTGGTTGGGTTAGGGGTGTGGGACTGGTGGTTAGGTGGTTGGGTTAGGGGTGTGGGACTGGTGGTTAGGTGGTTGGGTTTGAATTGCGGTTTATGGTGTTGTAAGGGTTGGGGTTGCGGTATATTGTTTTACCTTCTCTGATTCATCATCATCATCACTCCTTTGTGGCCCCTGGGGAGCCATCTCCAGCGGACGCGGTTTTGGGCTGCTCCTCTAATCAGTGCCCATGAGAGCCCAGCTGTTGTTCTCTGATTATCTCCCCTTAATTCCTGTATGTATTGCAATTTGTATAATTAATATTTCTCCAACAAGAATGACAAAAGCTGTTTTGTCTTTTGCTCAGGGATTCACTAGTATGTTGGTGTAGCTGCATTCCTACATTTTGTTGTATCCTTCTTCTTGAACTTACTTAAGAAAATAACGTGGTCTAAGAGAGGTAACTGTATTTATGAGATTTTGAGCAGGAATACAGCAATCAAGGAAAGATACGCAATTATAGTTTTAGTTTTACTTAATAAATATAAATAGACAATTAAAAGTTATATTGACTTCTTTGACCCCCTCCCTCCCTCTTTAGGCTTATAGGACACACACACACACAACTGCGGTCACTCCGTAGTAAAAAAAAATTCAAGCCCGCTTTTTCAAGCTCCCTAAATGGCCTGCCCCAAAACATGTTTTAGTTCCAAGCATTTGCTTCCAAAAAAAGATATTTTATGTATAGATTTATTCGTCCAGTTCCCCTGATCCCTGAAAGAAACACTGCCCCTAACTTCTTACCTACTCGCACATACCCAACTCACTTATCATAACCGTCCTCCCAGCTTATTGATTTTAATAATCTAGGAATGGTAGAATTTGATAATACTCATCACTCAATGCCCTATGCCTCATATCTTAGCTTTGTGTATAACAATGTTACCCAGTCACGATTTAATTGTATAAATATAATACCAATGCTTATCTCAAATGTATGACTGACTTAAACATGAAGCAATACATAGTGGTAATATACAAACTAGTGATTAATTCAGAAATCCGTTTAAGATCTTCCCTTTTATTCTGTGTGTTGAATCTTTCCAACCAGGATTGTCGATTTGCTTATTTGCGCGCAATGCGATTACAGTGAGACAAATTATTGAGCATCCCGCTTGTACAAATTAATAAAATGTATATGGCTGTTTCCATTTCTTTCATATCCAGCTAAATCAACAAACTTATCAGGATCACAACTGAACTAAAATTTACCGTTATTCTGGGTGTGAAATGCATGTATCAGATTTTCTGTTGTGTTCTTGATTAAATTCCTGTCCTTTGTCAAGTATATCTTCATGGATATGAGAATAGGACATATTCTCATAATCATACTCAAACACAGAGAAAACGTAAACATAAAATAGTATCCATGTTGAACCATCACTATGTATAAAACCCAGAACAAAAAATGCAGAGAAAGACTTTACCATTCTGCAGATTATTAATTAACCTTCAACCAAATAGCCATAGGGATATGGTTATGTTTGATAATTTGCGTTAGGATTAGGGTTTAGGTTAGGGTTAGGATTAGGGTTAGTGTAGTGACGAAATGCCCCCCCCCCACCATATACAACAGTACTTAAATCAGATTACATGTATTAATTCAACAAGAATATTAGAAATAAGTTAAAACTTTCAGTAATGATGTAAAATAAAATGTACACAACAGAATCAATAAGAAATCGATGTTGTTAGTGCCAAGCTATGGAGTTATTAACTGATCTAATAGAAACAAAGCCGATACGTAGGAACAAGTTCCAATAGTTATTCACTTTAGAAAAAAAATGGATGACTCTAAATTTGTACAGTTTGGAACATGGAGGAGAGAGATGGAAGAAAAAGTGCATGCTACAGGCAAGACCTGGCATGAATTGAAGTAGCTCGCCCAAGACAGAGTGGAATGGCGAAGATTTGTTGCTGCCCTATACTACACTAATGGTGACGACGATTAAGATAAAGATAAGAAATTTTAACAGTAGTATCAAAGAACATAGCCTTTCTTTTTCCACCACAATGAACGGCCCATCAGACTCTACACTGCTCACATTTGCAGTAGATTTCGGTCACGTGGGTTTCATGTATTTTTGTGTGCGTTTGTTTTTACAACCTTATCACAGTAATCCCAATGCGAACAATAAAAGTGCAGGGTGAAAAACCTAAAAATGAAGATTATTTAAAAGAAGTAAAGCGATACAATTTTGGTTATATTTGCCCTGCCTTGCCTTGTCTACCTTGCCTAACTTGCCTACCTTAGCCTAGCCAAGCCTATACCTAGCCTAGCCTTGCCTTGCCTTGCCTATACTAGTCTAGCCTAGCCTAGCCTAGCCTAGCCTAGCCTAGCCTAGCCTAGCCTAGCTTAGCCTAGCCTAGCCTAGCCTAGCCTAGCCTAGCCTAGCCTAGCCTAGCCTAGCCTAGCCTAGCCTAGCCTTTCATTGCCTTGGCATTTCTTGCCTTGCCTACCTAAGCCTATCCTATCCTACCCTACCCTACCCTACCCTACCCTACCCTACCCTACCCTACCCTACCCTACCTTATCCTATCCTATCCTATCCTATCCTATCCTATCCTATCCTATCCTATCCTATCCTATCCTATCCTATCCTATCCTATCCTATCCTATCCTATCCTATCCTATCCTATCCTTATCTTGCCTTGCCTTGTCTACCTAAGCCTAGCCTAGTCTAGCCTAGCCTAGCCTAGCCTAGCCTGGCCTAGCCTAGCCTAGCCTAGCCTAGCCTAGCCTAGCCTAGCCTAGCCTAGCCTAGCCTAGCCTAACCTAGCCTAACCTAGCCTTGCCTAGGCTAGGCTAGCCTCAGAGGCGTAGCGACCCTTCCCGGCGCCCGGGGACAAACTTTCGATTTGCACCACCCCTCGAACTTTTCATTCGCACCCCCCCCCTCCCTCTCAAACTTTCGATGTGCACCCCCCCCCCCCCTCGAACTTTTCATTTGCATCCCGTCTCAAACTTTCGATTTGCACCCCCCTCGAACTTTTCATTTGCACCACCCCTCAAACTTTCAATTTGGCGCCCCCCCCCCATCAGGTCGGCGCCCGGACACATATGTCCCCCCCGCCCCCCCCCCTCGCTACGCCTCTGCCTAGCCTAGCCTAGCCTAGCCTTGCCTGCCTTGCCTTGCCCTAGCCTAACCTAGCCTTGCCTTTCCTAGCCTTGCCAGGCCTAGCTTAGCTTAGCAAATAACATGTTTATAAATCTACAAAATGGTTGGGTGTTGAAAGGCTAAACATCTTTAGGGATTACAGGAATAATTTAAAAATGGACACCATATTTTAATACTAAAATAATGTTTACGGTGCCGTAAATTGGACATGTGAAGAGAGTGGAATGGGATATTTCCTTAAAGTTGTAACTTAACAGAGATGTTAAGGTATGTTAGGGGTTTAATATTTAAAGAGAACTTAATGTTAAGTTGAGCTTAAGGGTAAGATTGAGCTGAATGTTAACACTGAGGTAATGTTTGCAATGAGACACACAATGAAGATTTAGTTCACAAGACAACAAACACACATACAAGATTTATTTCACAACCTGATACACATACAAGATTTAGTTCACAGGACCTGAGACACATAAAATATTTAGTTCAAAGGACCTGAGACACACATACAAGATTTATTTCACAACCTGATACACATACAAGATTTATTTCACAACCTGATACACATGCAGGATTTAGTTCACAGGACCTGAGACACACATACAAGATTTATTTCACAACCTGATACACATGCAGGATTTAGTTCACAGGACCTGAGAGACACACACAAGATTTATTTCACAACCTGATACACATGCAGGATTTAGTTCACAGGACCTGAGAGACACACACAAGATTTATTTCACAACCTGATACACATACAAGATTTATTTCACAGGACCTGAGACACACATACAAGATTTATTTCACAACCTGATACACATACAAGATTTATTTCACAACCTGATACACATGCAGGATTTAGTTCACAGGACCTGAGACACACATACAAGATTTATTTCACAACCTGATACACATACAAGATTTATTTCACAACCTGATACACATGCAGGATTTAGTTCACAGGACCTGAGACACATAAAATATTTAGTTCAAAGGACCTGAGACACACATACAAGATTTATTTCACAACCTGATACACATACAAGATTTATTTCACAACCTGATACACATGCAGGATTTAGTTCACAGGACCTGAGACACACATACAAGATTTATTTCACAACCTGATACACATACAAGATTTATTTCACAACCTGATACACATGCAGGATTTAGTTCACAGGACCTGAGACACACATACAAGATTTATTTCACAACCTGATACACATACAAGATTTATTTCACAACCTGATACACATGCAGGATTTAGTTCACAGGACCTGAGACACACATACAGGATTTATTTCACAACCTGATACACATACAAGATTTAGTTCAAAGGACCTGAGACACACATACAAGATTTATTTCACAACCTGATACACATGCAGGATTTAGTTCACAGGACCTGAGACACACATACAGGATTTATTTCACAACCTGATACACATACAAGATTTAGTTCACAGGACCTGAGACACACATACAAGATTTATTTCACAACCTGATACACATACAAGATTTATTTCACAACCTGATACACATACAAGATTTATTTCACAACCTGATACACATACAAGATTTAGTTCACAGGACCTGAGACACACATACAAGATTTATTTCACAACCTGATACACATACAAGATTTATTTCACAACCTGATACACATACAAGATTTAGTTCAAAGGACCTGAGACACACATACAAGATTTATTTCACAACCTGATACACATACAACATTTAGTTCGCAGGACCTGAGAGACACATACAAGATTTAGTTTACAGGACCTGATACACATACAAGATTAGAGAAAGCACAAGTTATGATGACGTTTTAGTGTGTGCACGGTGAAGTAGCTTCTACATTTAATCCATTTTTCTTAAACTAATTACTTAATCAAAATGGTGTGAAATCCACCTGACATCATACCGCAACTGCCGATGTAGACAAGACTTACATTTTCAAATTTAGAACGGACTAAAAAGAATCTATTAAAAGGGCTCCATGAAATAAAAATCTGAGGAACATGATTGTCAGGACAAATTATCTCAAAGACAAGTTATCTGACTGACAAAATATATTCACAAGGTATCTCAGACATTATATCTCAAGATAAAATATCTACGGTATTAAGGTTTAGTAACTCAATGTGAAAGTATGTAATTATAGTGGAATGCTATAGTTATTTAGTTCTGCTTGGAGATATTTCCTTTCAGATACGGTATACTAAAACGAGTTAGTTCAAAATTATTGTTCAAAACATGTGATACACACAGACACACACACATCTACATTGCTTTATATATATATATATAGATAATGAAGGTCTGAAATTATCTAGATCTAGATAGAATTATCTAGATCTAGATTCTAGGAATCGTTTGCTTAAGTCTTACTTAAGTATAGTTTTTGCGTAACTCTTGCTAGATCTAAATTAGACCTATTCTAGATAGATCTAGGTCTAGATAGATAAATCACTGTCACAGACTGTATTATTGGGTATGTTTATTATATTGTGTTTTACATGAAGTTGCAAACATGTTTTTGTTTTCTGGCACATGATCCTGCCCTACTAGCATTGTACTTTGTAAATTTTGTTGCACAAAATTTTATTTGAAGGGGGGACGTGTCACAGACTGTATTATTGGGTATGTTTATTATATTGTGTTTTACATGAAGTTGCATGAATGTAGAGTACCTGGCCAACGGAAGGACTGTCTGAGCAACTCGTCATGTATTTTTCCATGCTTTTGTGAGATCGCTCATTGACGTAAGAGGGTGTGGGGAAATTGCGAGACGCGAAAAGCGAAATGGCGAGGCGGGAAAATGCGAGAAGGGCGCGAAAACGGTCGGTCACGTGACTTTTTTGTTTCGCATTTTACCACAACCCGATACTTACGCTGGGTGGTGTTGAAATGCGAAGATTTCTGCGAAAAATTTACCGCACCCGATTTTCAGTGGTATTTGGTCCAGACTTCAAAGACGTTTCGTTTACATTGTTAAAACTTCCGATTTTTCCGTCGCTAGACATACTGATGATTTGTCTACTCCCCCCCCCATCTTTTGTGTCGACTTAGAATACCACCTTGTTCGAAACCGACGGAAATACCGCCGACGATAGATCAACTTCTTTCTTTTGTGTGGAACGCCGAAGCCGCCGAAACCGTCTTTGAATATCGCCGTGCCGCCGCAAACATATTTTTGTATTGTTGCATAGAAATGTGTGACGTCACACTATAAAAAAGCAATGTTAGAAAAAGAATTTTAGACGTTTTTCGTGTTTTAGAAAACTGTTTTCATAAATTGTAATAGGAATTGATTAAAATACAGAAATTAGACAAGATTTTGGGAAAATATCGATGTTTTAAAAAAAATTCAACTGCAATTTTGAGGGGGGGGTTGTGGACTGAGGTGTGACGTCATTTTAGTGGGAGGGGGGGGGGTCTGGATTTTTGTGAAAATGTGTGACGGAGGGGAGGGGGAGGGGGGTAAAAATCGTCATTTATGGATGGCCCCTTTTAGCTATTAAATGGTAGTTTTGTCCATAGCGGACTTTATTCAGATTATCTACAGACGCACTTTTTTCCCCATTATGTTCATATTCGTGTTCTGTGCTAGCACAATATAAATGGGAGTCTAATGAACTGGTGGGTTGGATGTACTATGTGTGAAAGATGGTGTGACGAGGCAGTGGCGTAGCGAGGTCGGGTGTCATCCGGTGCGGAACTTAATGGCGTTGCGACCCTTCCCGGGGACAAACTTTCAAGTTTTCGATTTGCACCCCCCCTCAAACTTTCGATTTGCACCCCCCCTCAAGTTTTTCTCTATATATTTTCCTATTTTTTGCCTTGGTGTCACCCCCCTAAATGGTGTCACCCGGTGCGGTCCGCACCCCCCGCCCCCCCCCCCCCTCGCTACGCCCCTGTGACGAGGTGTGTTTGATTAATGCTAGGACTGTTTCAGAAGATTTTGTTTGTAAATTTTGTTTGTAATTAAAATTACTTAATAAAAAATAAATTACACTTTTGAGAATTGTTTATACTTTTACACTTTTTGCAAGTACAACAATCCATGAATACATGTTGCAGAATATCTCTCCTGCTGACAAAATTATACCAATTCACAATGACACAGCTCACGTTTGTATAAACATGAGCGGGCTAGATTTTTAAATTAATGCCGACTGAGATGGGATTTTCCTCTCGCTAACGAGAGCGGGCGATGACAGTAGCACAGCAACGATGTTTTGATTTTTTTAATAGATCTAGATCTATCTATCTTCTTAGTATCTATCTATATATATATAATAAAATCTAGATAAAAAATTACAACATACAACACCCGTGTTAAAGGGTATGGCTACATGCTAGTTTATTTTAAAACAAAAAAAAATAATTTAAATAAATAAAGATGAAATAAGCATGAAAAAAAACTTTTTTTCGCAAAAAGTGTCTCGCTATTTACCCTTGATTCTGCAGGTATGTCTTGCATGATCTTCTCGCATTTTCCCGCCTCGCCATTTCGCTTTTCGCGTCTCGCAATTTCCCCACACCCGACGTAAGAAGAAAGAATGGAACGTATAAAAGGGGGAGCGCAAGGTGAACGAGGTGTGCTTGCCTGTAACTGTGTAGTAAGATGTAAGATGTCACCACGTCAGTTTGTTCTAGACTATAATGTAATAGTCAATTTTCTACTGTGGAATATTATTATTATTTCTTATGGATCCATGTAAATAAAGTTTGAAGTTACAAAGCACTGTTGCTCGTATTCTTGGATGAACGAACCCACAATAACGACAGTATCATCCTATAAACAATATTACTGTTGTTACAATCACAAAGATTTATATCAAGTATTTAAGGACTAAAAAAATGTATTATGATTTTAAAATGGATTGTATTTTTATCTAATTAATCTTTGGTTTGTATCTAATTAATCTTTGGTTTTACCTAGATTCTAGATCTAGATCTATAAATAACTTTCTTGGCCACCTGATATTTAGATCTATAAATAAATAGATAACTTTCTTGGACATATTGTAGAGCTAGAGAAATTTATTGTAAAACTAAATAAAAAAAGAGAGTTGAAAATTTATATAAGTGTTGGAATGTAATAAAAACAGCAAACGGGCGTATTGTTGAAGTTATAGCAGATAGAAAATTAGCTTGAGAACGCGTTAAACTTTTGAATTGGCCACAAAATCTATGATGGAAGCCGCCATTTTATTGTACTAAAAAGTAAACAAATTATGTGACGTGATTTTTTAGTCAAAGTTAAGCCCTTGTTTGAAAATTTTAAAATTAATGTGGTTAATCTACCTATGAATTAATCAATAAATTAATTAACGTCTTAAAATAAAATTTGTGATTAACAGTCTGTCTGAAAAGAAAAATTGTTCTCTACCTACATACTATTTTACAGCCGTACACATAGTGCAGATTCTCTCCAGTAGCAAATCAGACAAACAAATAATTATTCAAACATGTAAACAAAGTTGAGTTTTAGTAGTATAGAGATAATTTGGTTTTAATTTTTCTAACAGGTATTGGTAGCCTATGTTATTTTGAATATGTCGGATTTTAACTATTTAGTTATTTTTTTTTTGCTTTGTCACTAATATCGTTCAACGGGTAGTAAAGTAAATTGCGTTTTGACCAATAACTATTTTAAAAATTATGTTTTTCCAAATAAGTATAACAGTACGATTATAGGCCTACGAGCCGACCCGCGGTGTATCATACGCCGCTATTTAGTTGTTTTTCTACTTTTCAGTAATTCATAATTTGTGAATTCGACAGTACCAATGCTGCCACTGAAAATATTTGCTTTAAAACACTAAACCCCCATCCCCCGTGAAAGCAGCCTCCTCTTAGTTACCTCCTCTAAGTTTAAAATACTTTCAAACTGAATTATCTGCCCCTAATAGCCGTCACCAAACTAAACATTTAGCGTGAACTACAACTCACCTGACCGTGTGAGGGGGGGGGGTGGGGGTGGGTGGGGAAGGGAGGTAGCGATAGAGAGGAAGAGAGGGGACTGCATGGCGCGCGCTTGCAGCTTGTTTTCTAACGGCTCCCAGAAGAGAATTATATATATAGATAGATAATTTACGTGAAACGTGTACCCATGGCTAGTATATATATATATATATATATATATATATATATATATATATATATATATATATATATATATATATATATATATATATATATATATATATATATATATATATATATATATATTTATATATAATCAAAAGCGTACAAATAACAAAAAAAGGTATTTTTATAAATTGCATTTGATATTTTAATGAACAATAAACAGATCAGTCAGTTTGTGCCTAATACATATATCTGTCAACTTTAAAGCCTCCATGATCTGTAGAGTCCCCTGACTAGTCAATATGTACTTTGGTGTCGGCATACTTTCTGATGATCGCTTTTCTCACTCTTGCCACACGTTGTCACAGAATTCCCAACTCCTCACCCCCGTCAGTGTCACGTTGGTCATGGACGACCCCCTTGTGACATGGATCTGTCAAGTTTCCAGCCACCATAAGCCGCAGTGGCTGAAACCTGTGGTCAGTGGAACAACCATTTAATTTGAATACGTCGTTATTTTGTTTGAATAACAATTGAAAAACGTTATAGATCAAGTGTTATCTGCAAAAAGAACCAGAGTTTGGTAGTCGTACCGCTCCACGCTTCAATCAAATTAATTTAGTCTACGACTAAAGTCTGAAAAGAACTATCCGAATGCCGATTATCAAACTGCCGTTTCCTTATTGGGACGTTTGGCATCCTTTATATTACCTTTGACAAATGTCCTCAGCAACGAACTTATTACAAGCATCATATATCTACCAAATTCCATTTAAAAAACTTTTATTTATGTTCTTAACATGTCCTTTTTTACATGTCGTCAGCATGTTCTAAATCTCATGCCCCCTTTTTTTTTGTCTCCATTATATCATAATGTCCTACCACGTCCTCTACAACATATCCTATGTATTTCATCTCCCTAAAAAGCCCTATAAATATCCTATCCATATTATATAAGCCTTACAAAGTTACTGCATTTGCTCTACAAACTTAGGGATCGTCCATAAATGACGTCACACTCACAGGGGGGAGGGGGGGGGGGTACGTAATTTTGTGACGGTGTGTGACGAGGGGGAGGGGGGGGGGGTTCAGATGGTGCGACGTCACACTTTTGAATTTAAAAAAAAAGCAATGTTAGAAAACGAATTTTAGACGTTATTTCGCGTTTTAGAAAACTGTTTTAATAAATTGCAAAAGGATTTGATTAAAATACTCTATGTTGACAGAGTTCAGACAAGATTTTCGAAAAAATATCGATGTTTTAAGAAAAATTCAACTGCAATTCTGAGGTGGGTTGTAGGCTGAGGTGTGACGTCATTTTAGGGGGCAGTGTTTCTTCCAGACTTTTTTCTCCGGGGGGGGGGGGGCACTTGAAATTTTCGGAGGGGGGGGGGGCGGTAGACTTTCTTTGGGGGGGGGGGCAGACACTGTTAAAAGTATATATTTTCTATATAAACTATATACATTTCATTTCGTTCGGGGAGAGGGGGGGGGGGGCGGTAAAATTTTTTCGGGGGGGGGGGAGGGGGGGGGGGGGCTTTGCCTCCCCGAAGAGATGCCTGGAAGAAACTCTGTTAGGGGGTGGGGCTCGCTTTTTGTGACGATGTGTGACGGAGGGGAGGTAAAAATCGTCAAAAAAGCGTGACGTCATTTATGGATCACCCCCTAATATCCATAAAGTGACCGACTCTCCACATACCTTGGCCCAGTCCTGATATGAATTATTGGAACTTGATCGTACTCCATGTCTTTCCTGATGGCAATGATCACAACTATCGAATCACAGGTCACTATCATCTCATACGTTGGTAACACCTGAGGAAAAAAGGTAAATTGAGATCATTTATCAAGTATGGGGTCATCCTTTTATGACGTCCACAATTTTTTTCGGATTTTGGACCCCCCCCCTCCCCCCACAAAAATCCACCTTTTTTCCTTATAAAAGTCCATATGCCTCCGCAAAAGTCAGTTTTGTTCGGACCCCCCCCCCCGCGTGTAGACGTCATAAATGGATGACGCCTATGGTTAAAAGGATCGCTAAAGCCACACATAAGGACCTAAATCAAGTTGAACAGTTACGTCATGCGTGGTCATTCTAATCAACTTTCACATAACAATAAGGGTTATATGTATATATATATATATATATATATATATATATATATATATATATATATATATATATATATATATATATGTACATATATGTACATCTCAAACAGTCTCTGTTAATATATAAAGCTCAAATGGTCTCTCTTGAAATATAAAGCTCAAACGGTCTCTGTATGTGGCGGACAAAGAACGGACTATAGAACAATATAGTAAAAACTTGAGTTAATCGCCATAGTGTAATACACTTAAAGTGTTTATTATCTAAATGAATCCCAAATGAATCCTTAACAAAATAACGATTTTGTAAAACAAGTTTCATTTTCCAAACTAAACATTTTAATTAACGTCACGTGGAATAACTAAAGTCAAAGAAACTACGTTCGTTTTAAACTGTGAGATTATGCATAAGATTTGGCATTATAGTCATTTACTAAGTTGAATCAGGTAGTTCCGCCGGCGCCCCGGCAGGGTAAGATTTTTACGTTTGTTTTTAAGTTTGTGTTTATGTTCTCCGTTATTGTTTGCGCTTAGGTTTACGTCTGTGTTTGTGTTTGTTGCGGTGTGTTTGTACTTTTGTTTGCGTTAATGTTTGCGTTTGTAAATGCGTTAGTGTTTGCATTTTTGTTTGTGCTTACGTTTGTGTTTGCTTTTCTGTTTGCGGTTACGTTTGTGTTTATGTTTGTGTTTGTATTTTGGTTTGCGTTTTTGTTTGCGTAAGCTTATGTGTTTGCGTTTGCTTTTGTCTTTGGGTTTGCGATAGTTGTTGGATTATGGTTTGTGTTTTCGTTTGTGTTTGTGTTTGCGTATATGCTTATGTTTGTGTTTTTGTTTTTGTGTTTGCGTTTTTGTTTGTGTTTGTGTTTTCGTTTTTGTTTGCGTTTATGTTTAGGTTTTGGTTGATTGTGGATAGGGTTAATTCGAAAAGTGATATAGGCCTATTTCCTAAACCCGGGCAATTCCAGGTAACACACAAGTCATGGTACTTTCCCGGACGGCTATTATATAAGTAAATTAAAAAAACCAATAACAGCACCGTTTACAGAACAAAACATGTTGGGGGACGTGTTACTCACCTCCTGGTCCTGTACAGTACAGTCAGGCCAAGAAATCTTGTATGTGACGTCATCAACCCTATCCACCCGGATCTTACACTCTTCTTTTGTGGTCAAGTCACTAGCGGTCAAATTCATGACCTCAGCAGCTGTGAACGGCTTGGACCTATATATATATATATATATATACATATATATATATATATATATATATATATATATATATATATATATATATATATATATATATATATATATATATATATAAATATATAAATAAATAAATAAATGTATATATATAAATATTATATATATATATATATATATATATATATATATATATATATATATTTATATATATATATATATATATATATATGCGAATTTCCTTACTCAGATTTAGATCCCACTAAAATGTTTTCCACAAACAAATACCTACATGTCGTTGGGAGGTGTGGTGATGTTGTACGGTTGCATGAAGATCTGCTCGTTGTCGTCCTCCCATATGATAAGGATCACCCGTCGTCGTAGGATCTTCCCAAGACGCTGTTCAAACAGATACGTAATTTCCTGCAACATACGGGGCATGAAATCAAGGGTTTAAAGATCATTCTGAACGTCGAATTTCTTTGGATAAATAATTCTAGTTGATAAATAAACACAGGTAAAGAAATGAGAACCAACGAAAAAAAAAATGTCACCGGTGCTAGAGCAGGAATCTCTACTGGAGTTATCCTCCCCACCGAGTAGTAGGGTTTATCGGGGTCAATCTCATCTTCCGATTCATAGGCCTGGATTTGCCTGACGTCAGAGAAATAGCCGTCGAACAGGTAGAGGAAGTTCAACAGCTTGTGTGATAGGACTGGGGATGTAAAGAATCTATATATATAATTCTCTTCTGGGAGACGCTAGAAAACAAGCTGTAAGCGCGCTCCCTACCACCCCACCCCTACATGGTCTGGTGAGCTGTGGTTCACGCTAAATGTTTACAATCATAGAGCGGGTTTAGTGACGGCTATTAGGGGCAGATAATTTAGTTTGAAACTATTTTAAACTTAGGGGAGGTAACTAAGAGGAGGTTGCTTTCACGGGGGGTGGGGGGATGGGTGGTGGGGGGGTGTAGGTAGGGGTTGGGGGAAAGGAGGGTGGGGGTAGTATCGTTCTTGAAGCAAATATTTTCAGTGGCAGCATTGGTACTGTCGAATTCACAAATTACTGAAAAGTAGAAAATAAAACAACTAAATAGCGGTGTATAATATGCCGCGGGTCGGCTCGTCACAATATATTAAGCGTTGACTTGACTGTGGTCGGATTTGGTTTTACTTAAAGTACAGATTTATACAGTACAATCTTGTAGAACAATAATTGAACTTTAGTGGAGCAAACGTATATTTGTATACAAAGATTTTGATAACTGCTCAGTAAATTTACAAATTTCTTTACTGAAATTTTTATCCTTCTAAGATCTTTCTTTTACTATTTAAAACTAAAGTTCAAACTAGAGAGGAGTTAATTATTTCAGCAATAATCGTCTACGAAATTTGGGGGAGCAGAGGCGTAGCGAGGTCGGGTGTCACCCGGTGCGGCACCTTATGGTGCCACCCCCCAGAGGCGTGGCGACCCTTCCCGGGGACAAACTTTGAATTTTCGATTTGCATCCCCCCATCAAACTTTTGATTTGCCCCCCCCCCCCTGAAACTTTCGATTTGCACCCCCCTGAAACATCGATTTTGCCACCCCCTCCTAAAATTTTTCTCTATATATTTTGCTATTTTTTGCCTTGGTGTCACCCCCCCCCTAAATGGTGTCACCCGGTGCGGTACGCACCCCCCGCCCCCTCTCGCTACGCCTCTGGGGGGGGGGGGGAGTGAGCCCCCTGATACGTTTAGTAATGTTGTTTTATAAAGGTAAGTACGAGGATGGTACTTCCAGTGGAATTTGGCTTCAGAAATATTGAAATCTTTTGCAAAGCCGCTCGTCCTTTGAGAAAACATGCAAAGGCAAAATATTATTAGAATATACTGCTTTACTATTAGATTATCGAGCTCTGTAGGTTTTAGAGGAATTTGAAATAAAGTAAACTTTCCGTTTTCAAGAAGCCAGGTTTCGTCCGACTCGGAGTGATGTAAAAAGTCGAGTTTTATGAATGAAAGTAGGCTACATGTAAGAAATAAGTATTTCTATTGTAAATCTGTATCAGTCCTCACTAGCCGATGATGACAACTGTAATACTAAAGCGAACATGCAAGGCAAGCTGACGCTGTAAATTACATGTCTGAGGCAAACAAACGAGTACAACACATCCTCCAAACTCGGTATAAGAGACAGTATGAGAGACAGTAAAACTGATGACGAGAAAGGGTTGGAGTGGTCGAGTCGGTAAAGCTCATGGTTGCTAAACCGAAAAGTCTTGAGTTCGAACTCTCGAGCAGATGAGGGACCCAGGGGACAGCCTTTCTTCTAGGAGAGACAACTCCAAAATCAAACAACTGCTGCCTTGTAGTTTGTTCTTGGTTGGACAAAGGGCTATGGAAGCAAATCTAAAAAGAAAAGCAGGCTGAAATCGGAGTCATAACTTTTTGACACATATACTCAATTGTGTTGGAGGCGTGCAAAATCTGATGGTTGTAAAATTTGAAAAAGTCTCGAGTTCAAACCCTCTGGCAGATAAGTCTCGATCCCCTCCAACACTAAAAATTAAGAACGAAGAAGAAGAAGAAGTTCACTGGAAAGGAAAAGACGGAAAACAAATAATCGCATAAAAAGAAGCTCGCAACTAAAATATCAAGCGTTAAAAAATGCGTAAAATAAGTCTTGATAAGTTGACATTCACCCTGAAAGTTTACCTGGTGTATTCCCACTTTTTTGATTGGCTGTGCTGGAACCGCAAGCAATCAGCAACACCAATGCCGTGTAGCAAGTTGACGTCATTCTCATTGAACATGTATTCTATCTCGCTTTGTAAACGCGTACAGTGCTAAACTGGTAGTACTATTAGATGTAGGAGCAGTATATAAATTCTGGGTATTTATACACATCTCTGCATGTTCATTGCCTATAAAACTAACGCAAGATAATTAATTTATGCAGTTTAACTCAGTAGTTCTCAAATCTTTACTTGAGTACTTATCTTATAGGCTGTACACAAACATGTTCGTTCTAATGTTTTTGTGTGTTTAAGAGGATAAAACTAACCATTACATGAAAGCCACCATCTCATTTCACGTATGATCCTGCATAACTTGTATAACACGGGTATATATTCCAATAGATTTAGAAGCATTGGTGTAACAAATATCGTTGACACAACATCAAATATCGATGAAAATAAAAACATATTTTCAATTTATTGTTATTCACTAGAGCAAATAAAAAAAAATTATGCGTAAACATAATCTATTGTTGTGAAAGTAAGTTTACCCACATAGAAAGGGAAATAAAGTACATTTTTAAGTAATGGTAATTCACACGAGCACATAAAAAAACAAAACACGTTTTTGCAACGTAAAAATAAAACTAGTTGACGGCGTGATCGATGTAAAAAAAAAACAAAAAAACCCCGAAAGTTTTGAGTATGAAGTACGACCGAGTCCCCTCAGCTGTTATGGGTACTTGAATCACGTTATGGAAAAGTAAGGGCGAATGGTCATAGTTCGCAGAGACATTGGAACTCGATGGACTGCCGAGAGTTAACAAAAAAAAAAAGAAATATAAAGACACAAAAATAGAATTTGTGGTCAGCACGTAAAGCAAACCCGCTGAGTATTAATATCTCATACATTTAACCATATATTCAGGTAACTCTGAGCCGGTAAGAAATAGAAGTCCTACCATCTATAAAATTTCGTGTTATTCAACTAGGTCTATGTAGCCTATAGGCTACAGATTTACTGTTTCTAGACTTATGTGGAGACTGTAGATTCGCATGATTTCGCCTAAACATTTATTATTACAACTAGTTTAATATAAAATTTAAAATATGAGACATGACCAACCACAATGACATACACATACACACGTACGTGATTGCGGAAGTGTTTTTTTTTTCTAGCGCAACCTGCTTGCAACTTTAAAATAAATAAATTATAAGGCAAAAGTTGTACCGGTCGTACGTACGGTGATCATGATTCATTGTTCGGTATGAAATCTATACGCGTGCACCGATTCAATTTATTGGTGCGCGGACCTTTGACCACAGGTGCTTTGACCATAGGGGCTTTGACCATAGGGGCTTTGACCAAAGGGGCTTTGACCATAGGGGTTTTGACCACAGCGGGGCTTTGAACATAACGGGGGTTTGACCATAGGTGTTTTCTCAGCAGAGGGTCTTTGATCACAGGTGGTTTGTCGACGGGTGTTTTATCACAAGGGCCGTGTGCGGCTTTGATCACAGGTGTTTTGTGTATATAGGGTCTTTGATTACAGGTGTTTTGTGTATATAGGGTCTTTGATCACAGGTGGTTTGTATAATGCTTCGTTTGATAACAAGCGCTTTGTCCATTTACGGTAAGGATTAATTTCAAATGTTGTGTAATTATATTTTAAATTGCGGCAAGATGTAATAGCATGTTAATTCATCTGTCATTTAGTTAACCATACAAGTATTACTTCTTTGATTATTCTGTTGGCATGTTTTTTATTCTTTTTTATCATTTGTATATGCTTTGTATTTTCAAGTAATCTACATTATTTATTTGTTAAACGTGTTATATGTCGCATTATTTGTATTCCGTTTATATTTAGAAAATAAATCTATGAGGTCTAGCACCAGTCTTTATGTGGAGACTAAAAATATCGTTCTTGACGTGACGTCTTTTATGGATATGACCCTTAACAGATATTGTTTAATTAGCGAACACTGCTAATGATATTAAAAAACATAATAAAACCGAAATTAGTTTTTGCAAGGTTTTATTTATTTATGAATCTCGAGTAACCCGCTTGGGTCACAAGATCAATTTCTTACTGACAGGGATCCTTGAAGTCTTCTCTCCATAAGGCGGACACCCATGGGAACCTGTTGGATAAGAATATTTAACTCCGTACTTAACACACATTTTCTTCTAAGTATTAAGACTGATAAAATTTCTTGCTAAATTCCTCTACAATTGTATACACTATACTTATCAGTTTTATGCCTACTGTCCTATGGGGTCGTCCATAAATGGACGTCACACTCGTAGGAGGGAGGGGCGGTCCGTAATTTAATGAAGGTGATGAGGGGTAGGGGGGGGGGGGGGTTCAGATGGTGTGACGTCACACTTTTGCATTATAAAAAAGCATGTATAGCAAACGAGTTTTAGCCTTTCTTTCGCGTTTTAGAAAACGGTTTTAAAAGATTGTAATAGGAATTGATCAAAAATATTCTATGTTGACAGAGTTTACGGAAAATATCGATGTTTTAAGAAAAATTTCAACTGCAATTTTGAGCGGGATTGTCGGCTGAGGCGTGACGTCATTTTAGAGGAGGGGGGGTCTGGCTTTTTGTGACGATGTGTGACTGAGGGGGGGGGGGGTGTGTGTGGTGAAAATCGTAAAAAAAAGCGTGTCCTCATTTATGGATGACCCCTATTGTACATGTACAATGTCCTGTTATGGTCCTCTACACTATACTTATGTTACAGGCCTATTGTCCTACCTTACATGTAAAATGTCCTGCTAAGGTCCTCTAAACACGCTTACATACCTGGGTCCCTGCCTTATGTGTACGATGGGTACGGGATCGTATTCCAAATCTTTTTTGTCCTTCGTCAAGGCGACCATGGAGTTACAGGTCCAAGTTAGGTCATAAGCTGGCACTACCTGAAGAGAATATTCAGAAAGAGGCTGTCAACTTTGGATACTTACAAGTGTTACGCAATATCCGGTATCACATGACTTACGAAATATATAAAGTAAGATTTCAGTTGGAAGGGGTGTGCAGCATTTAATGTTTGAGGGATTATTTCGGATATAAGAATTACAAAAAAAGTTATAGAATCTACTTACTAGAGAACAAAAAAAAAAAAAAAAAAAAAAAAAAAAATTTACAAAAAAAAAAAACCACAACAAAAAAACAACAACAAAAAAAACAAACAAAAAATAAACAAACAAAAACCAAAAAAAAAACAAACAAAAAAAAACACTCGATCTATTTTTAGCTTTGAACTTTGAACTCACCCCGTGGTCGTGTACGGTACAGTCTGGCCAAATTGTCTTGTACGTGACGTCATCCACCTTCACCACCCAGATCTTGCACTCGTCTCTTGTGGTCAAGTCACTTGCGGTCAACTTCTTGACTTGGTCAAGTGAGAACGGCTTCGACCTGAGGCAGCAATAAAAGTTCTAAACAAATGCCCTAACAAAAAAATGTGTTGTCTTTTCAGCTACAGACTTGGGGAATATATATATATATATATATATATATATATATATATATATATATATATATATATATATAGTATATATATAAATATATATACATATATATATAAATATTTATATATATATATATATATATATATATATATATATATATATATATATATATATATATATATATATACATTTAATTTGCAATTCATGTAAAAGCATTTTTTAAAAGTGTTATATATATATATATATATATATATATATATATATATATATATATTATATATATATATATATATATATATATATATATATATATATATATATATATTGTATTTAAAAGGGCCGACCCTGAGAGATATAGCACACAATGGAAAGACGCTGTTGTTTTCAACTACTGGATTTATTGACAT